TGTAGAAGACATCAATTGAAGTTGAGGGTTTTGAATGGAGCCACTCGCGCCAAAACCAAGGAGGGAAACGATTGGGAAAGTTATTTAAATATTTACTATTTTACTGAGTCCCTAAATAGATAAAAAGTCTATTCACTTAAGTTAAATAAATTAGGGTTTAAAGGTTAATGTATAGCCGGCCCTAGAGAGTATTTCATTAAGGGTAGAATAGTCTTTTACCATTAAAAGAAGTAAAGTTAATTACTTTGATTGATGGTTAAGTTTAGTTAGAGTTTGAGTCAAAATTGACTACGTCTTTCCTTACTGTGAATTGGATCAAGTAGTACAAATAAAATAGAGTTTCTTTGGCCTAAAGTAAATGCTAAATAGTAGGGATTTTGTCTTGGAGAGCAAGGAAGCTTGCCTATATAAGGTGGCCGAATCCTCTCACAAAAAAAATGTGTGTTGAAAACTATGAGTTATTGAGTCAAATAAATTGATTTGAACCCTTTGTGGTTTTTCTTAAACAATGAGCGTTTCTTGTTGTTTTGAAGGAGAAGAATGGTTAGTTCTTTCTTTCTTTCCTAGAGCCTAACATGTGACTTGGTTCTTTGAGTTAAACCGTTTTATCATGTTTATGCGTTGCATGATTTAATTGTTTTTAAACTAAGTTTTCTTATCATCTTTTGATATGAAGGTCGATAGGTTGAGCATATTTGATTGCTTGGTTTTCTCGAGTTCTTTATGTCCTAGGGTTGTAGGATACCTTGTTTGTTTATCTATTTGATATAGATGAGTTTGCTTGGAAATAGCATGATGAATAATGTGTTTCTGATTGCTTATTACCTTGGTTATGATAGTGTCCTTACCAATATAGCATATATATTTGTTTGGTTTGTTGTAGTCAAGTGAGTGATTTGCTCGTAGCATGTATCGTCAATTATATGGGTGATTGTTCGATTATATTGAAGGGTTTCATCTTTTTATAAGATTATGTTATTCAATGTGGGTAATTATTAGGATTTTGTGTTTGAGCTTCGTTTGAGTTCATAAGATAGTGGATTTCTATTTCAACGGTCTAGTTTATTTGTGAATTCCTGCACTCTTTAAGAGTTTCACTTTTAAACATCTTTTTCGTACTTTCTCGATGATGGTTCCTTTAACGAAATTAGGTTCATCTTCTAGATTGCTATCATGCTACCTTCAACAGAGTTAGAAACTTTCTTCTCTGCCTTGTTCAACATATTGTATGCCTTATTAACAGGTGGTAGTGGATCCATCATTAGAATATGATCTTTCATGGTTTCATAACACTTATTTAATTTCTGTTTTTAGCTCATAATCATGGTAGATCGCGAATTCGACGATGTTCTGCGTAGAGAAGGAGGTCATGGCATTGGCGGTTGGAGATCTCAAGATGATACTTTGAGTCTTCACGCGTCTGAGCATTCTGGTATGAAGCTTGTGTTAACTCCTTTTACTGATTCCAACTATCTTGTATGGAGTCGTTCGATGCGAACAGTGCTTTAATCAAAGATGAAGATTGGATTCATCGATGGTACCTGTGTAAGTCCTCCACCTTCCTCTCCTGATTTTCATCAATGGGAGCGTGTAGATTCGACGGTTAAATCTTGGATAATTGCTTCTCTTAGTGAAGATGTTTTTGATAGCTATATGTATAATCTTTCTGCTCAAGAACTTTGGGAAAACTTGGCTGAAGAATATGGAACTTCTAATAGTCAGACCTTGTATCTAATGAGGAAAGAACGTATTGCTATTGTGCAAGGAGATATTTCTCTTGTAAAGTACTATAGTTCTTTGAAACGAGTATGGGATGAGTATGCTCATTACAGACCATTCCCTCAGTGTCCACCTCATTTTGCTAAAGTGTTAGAAGCCAGGGACAATAAGGATAAGCTGATTGAATTCCTGATGGGGCTAAATAAGTGTTATGAAACCATGAAAGATCATATTCTAATGATGGATCCACTACCACCTGTTAATAAGGCATACAATATGTTGAACAAGGGAGAGAAGAAAGTTTCTAACTCTGTTGAAGTTCCTCTGATGAATAACTCTGCACTCATTGCTAAAGGAGTTGAGCAAAAAGTTCTTAATCAAGTGTCATATACTACAAATGAAGTATGAGGAAACTCTGCAGTCTTGGCTAAACCTCAAGGATCAAACAAAGGAAGAAGCCAATAGATTACAACAGGTTCTGTACTCATTGTCAGAGGCATGGTCATGAGAAGGAGAACTGTTGAAGATAAATGGATTGCCAGAGTGGTTGCAAGAAAAGAAGAATGCACAGAAAGGTATCAAGGGACAATTGTGAAGAACTATGCACACATTGCCAATATGGAGACTCCTATGGATGCAATGGAGTAGTCTTCCAACCTGGATATGAATGCTATAGCAATGCAACACAGTCATCTACAACAGGAGTTAAGCAAGATGCTTAAGGGGAAGCAACCAGTTGATTTCCACTCTGTCAACTTTGCTCACCCTATCTAAAAAGACTTAAAAATTCTGTAAAATACTAAAACCTCCGTAAATTAAAATTTTCTAATAATTCTAAAACCCTATTCTTATTTTTTCCCGCATCAACTCTCCCCTGCTTCAAAGAAAACTCGTCATCGAGTTTTGCCTGCCTTTCCCACGATCAAAAGGAACTCCTGTTAACTCCAATTGCCTTCTTTGAGAAACCTTCTTCTTTCGTCTTCTCCATGCATAAACAATTTGTTGATTCAGAGAGTTCTTAAACTCATAAGCTTCTTGTGATGTTCTTGAAAATTTAGCTTTGAAATTGCAAACTGGATCACATGATTCAAAACAAACACCAGACACCATTACTGCTTGTGCTTGTAGCAGATCCTCTTGAGTAAAGCACAAACTTTGTTAATCACTAGAAATTCTGCCACATTAACGTAATTCTTCTCCTCCCTAAGTATATTAAACCCATCAAACTCTTCCAAATCTTCCTTGTCTACTATTGGTTCAGTTGGAAGAGAAAATTGAACAACACCATGAACACCATCATTAACCAATTCATCCGAAACTCATCCGGGTAAACATCATAAACCGGTGGACTGCTCCAATCAACGATCTAGTCCTCACTTGAATCGAAATCGATTCAGATGAGAAAAACAAACCCTCCATATTACCTTCCGGTAAATCTGAAGAAACAACACTACACAGTTGACGATTCAATCCTTTTTGGAGATCATCAATCCTTTGACGATTCAATCCTTTTTGGAGATCATCAATCCTTTGACGATTCAATCCATCCTGGAGATCATCAATCCTTTGACGCACCCACTCAATTTGTTGCGTCACATCCTCTAGTTCTTGCAACCATGCAATCAATTGTTGACGGCTTTGATGGCATGGCTTAAACCTATGTCTCTGATACCAATTGATGCGGGCGGGACCATGAAAAGAAGGAACACCACTTTGATTCATGATCACCATGACCAAAGGCAATGGTTTTTACACAAAAACCAATAAAAACCATAACACAGGCACTCAGTCGTGAAAGAGAACTTGCAGTTCTGAAATCAATTATCAAATATCAATAAAAACTACCTCTATACAGCAACCCTATTTATAGTTAAACCCTATACTTAAAAACGGAAAATATCTAAAAAGACTTAAAAATTCTGTAAAATACTAAAACCTCCCTAAATAAAAATTTCCTAATAATTCTTAAACCCTATTCTTATTTTTTCCGCATCAATAAAGAAAACTTTTCCGCGTGGTCCACCAGAATTAAAAGGAAACTAATCTAATGTAAATCAGAATACAACATAAATAGCAATCCTAACTACAAATCATTATTATTATTACACACTGAAGTAAACAAATTGGAGGGAAAAATCTATAAAAACACTCACCAGAAGAGTTAGATGATATAGAGAAACAATGATGAAAATCACTCAGATATGCATTCTCATGAACCTGCAAATCCAGCAAAATACATCCGACTGTAGCAGAACAGAAATTAAATGGATGAAACTACTCAGAATTGCAAGGAGAAGAAATTAAATGGATGAAACTACTCAGATGAAACAATGCCATGACCTCCTTCTCTACGCAGAACGTCGTCGAATTCGCGATCTACCATGATTATGAGCTAAAAACAGAAATTAAATTTATGAAACTACTCAGAATTGCAAGGAGAAGAAATCTACGGTATCAATTTAACAGTATCGAGCCGATGGCTCTGATACCATCAAAAGATTGGCTAGGGTTTCATAGCCAGAAGTTGAAGAAGACATAATCAAATTTGGGTAAAATTTGTGTTTATTCTAGTAAAACCGATTAGCTTGGTCATCAAGCTGTTTAAAATATATATAAACCTAAAACTAATGATTAGCTGGAATTAAATACAAATCAATCAGTCAACCATACAATTGAGTCCTAATATTTACATAAAAGATCAATCAAGTCCCTGTTTAATCTCCTGGATCAAATGCAAAGCATTGATCAGAATGATCCAAGGATAGAAGTTTCATTTCACCCTTTAATTCGGTAAATGTGGACCGGAATAGTAAGTAATTACACGGTGGGAAATCAGCGAAAATAGAGGAACTGATAATCTATCTTTGAAAGATTTGCTAGAGGTTTGTGTTGAAGCACTTAAAAATAACAGAGTTCCTCGAATTGGCTTAAAGGGTTGTCTTTAGGTGTTAAGTGATAGAAGGCCTAATTGCTAGGAAACGGAAATCAGACACCAATATACTCTCCGTCTTAGAAAATTAGTCTACATTTTATTTCAACAAAAATGATTTTTTTTTTTTTTTTTTGACAGCTAGAGGGGATAGGAAACTGATATGCCAGCAGGAACCATAGGATAGGGCCTCAATTATGGCCTTAATAGAATGTAGGGCATAAGCCCAGTAGAAGATTAAAAACATAGTAAAATGACTATTATAGAAATAATCTTTTCTTATGAACACCGTAAAAAATCATTCGTATGATTGAATGTCAATTTCTTGAATAGATTTTTTTTGGTATGATGGTTGCGGAAATTTATAATTGATATAATATAATTGGAAGATTACTTTATAAGATATCGTACTATGAAAACACACGGTGCACGATAATTGAAAAAAGTGATAAATTTCTCCAACAATGTAGTTTGACCCCGCTATAATTTTATTCTAGATTCGCAATTGGCGACGAGGCTCTACCTGTAAACTTTCATTTGCAGCTACATCACCTCCATATCTGTGTAGTTGGGAGGAGTTTTGTTTAATTCGTTTCAGCTTTCAGGCATAAACGTTATCAGTGTAGCTGGCAGGACTTCTGCTTGGTTTGTTTCAGCTCTAAGGCAAAATATTTATATATATCTGTGTGTTCTTCGTTTTAGGAAGAACATGATTACCGAATCCTTTTTCTAACTACCTGTCTGATATATAACATCAAATCTCTACAGAAACAGCAAATCTAAGCCGATCCTACAGTATCAAGCCTACATAAAACAAACACGACGAAACAAAGGGGCAAGAGCAGATTAAGTAACTGGTAACTGCCGGTATTAGAAGAAGATGCAGCAGGAGGAGGAGGCTGATGAGGTGTGGAAGCAGCCACATTTTCCTTGGAGCAAGTGTAGTTACATCTGCTCGGTCGAACTACTCTATAAACTCCGCTCATCGTGAGGATGAACAAGTCTTTTCTGTTATCTTCTCCGAAGGAGAATATGTAACTTAGAGCAGGAAGAGGACTATTTGGCACTGAGCTACATGGAAGTGGTGAATCAGCTGCACAACTGAAGGGAATGGAAGTTGTCGTGAAGTTTCCGCTGTTCTTAGGGTTCTCTAAAGCTGCCCAAATGTTTTTGGCGTATAGATCTCCATAGAAGTAACTGCAAATATACAACCATTTTACAAAATCAATACGATGAAATTAGGAAAACAAAAATATTCCATGAAGCATTCCTTCCTTATTGCAGATTAATATTTTTTTGCAAGCTTAAAGAAAATGTCTCCATGGAATCTCTAACTGGAGCAATAATGATATTGACCATCAAGAAGATTGTAACATTTGACAGGTATAAGGGCCAATTTTGGGAAATCTTTTTTTCTTTTCTGTTTTTCTGTTTTACCTAATAATATCTGTACAAATATCATTTGAACTGAGAAATGTCCTATTATCAGTTGCTGAGGAAGGGTAAAAAAAGTTTCTGATGTTGCATCATATTTACCTTCCATAACTGCATGGATCAGTGGTAGAACGATAGAAGTAGCCACCTGAGATTGCGGCTGATCCTTCCTTCTTGTTTACATCAGAGTGATTATAACCTGCCACAGGTAAGATTGTATCATTGGAATTTACCAAAGTGATGTTTGGTGTTGTTGTCTGATTTTGGAATAGTATTGGCCCTTCCAACATTCGCCACCCGTAGTTTCCTCCCTTTGTGATCAGATCCACCTCTTCATATTGATCCTAACATACATAAAGGTGTAGGATTTGCATTAGTACATATACGCAGCTTCATACGGTCTTGAGATTGAAATGGGAGGAGATGATTAGTTAGATGGCATCAACTACTAACCTGCCCTATATCGCCACAAACGAAATATGAAGGCCTTTCTGAATCAAAGCTACAGCGCCAAGGATTTCTCAGTCCCATTGCCCAAATTTCTGGTTGCAGTTGTTTATCTTCAGAGAAGGGATTATCACTAGGTATGGAATAGTTTCCCCACAGATTTAGATCTGCAATTGTCTTTTCACCTAGCAAACCATACATGGATCTTGCTTTTGAGTTGCATTATAACCAAGAATACTTGCAGATCGAGTGTAATAATACTTGCAGTGCTTTTTCATAGTGACTACTATGGCATTTACATTTCTCTGATGGAATTGTCATCACTATTACAATGACGATCAATAAGTAAATGATATGTCAATGATTATGGTTTTGTCATTATGAATGTGAACATTATTCAATCATAGTGTACTAATCAATAACTGTGGCTTCAAGAAAGCTTACTTGGCATGTTATTGACATCAAGCCTCATGATTTTCCCAAGCAAAGACTTCTTGTTTTGGGCAAAATTGTATTGATCACTTTTACCACCACCATCACCCATCATTAAGTAAAGGTATCCGTCTTCTGGACCGAAAAGAATCTGTCCTCCATGATCACCCCCGAAAGGGATACCCATTGTGAATATTCTCCTAACCTCAGAAGGATTACCCTTTTCTGCCTGAAAATTTTCACATCAATAGAGAAGAGCTATTTAAAAATCCTCCCTTTCAGTTTGGATGTATAAGTTCAGTAGTATCAGAAGTGAACAAAGTTAACATGTACCGTTGATGATGATGATCCATTGGCACTGAACTCCGAAACCACGACATAATCCTTGCAAGGAGGAGTTCCATCAGGAGAAACAATCTGTGAAGGATCACAATCAACATCAGAGTTGCAAGCACACCTTCCTGTACATCCTGGTGACTTAATCTTATCACAGTTATACGAAGCGAAGAACCTTCCATTGCGTGCAAAGTCCGGATGAAATGCCAATCCCATCATTCCAAATATTGAGTCCAGATAAACTTCATCAGTCAAGTCCACAAACGGGCTAGATTCGTCAAGTCCTAGAGCCGCCCCTGAATCCTGCTCAGGAATTGTTGCCAGCCAAACCTTACCAGGCTGATCAGAAAAGAAAGCGCGATTTGATCCATCCGGATGAGGTGCCATGTTTAAGTAAGACCCTTTGCCAATTTTCTCAAGACACATTCCTTTTGGTGGCATCAACTCTTCATTGTCAAGAACTGAAACTTGTTTACCATCAAAACAGACTGAATCTTCACCCGAAACTCCACCAAATGCATTGCAGAACTCTGTTTTCGATGGCCAGAGATCGGTTAACTTGTATGGGTTGGAGCTTTCTGGCACTGCAGTCTTACGATGTAAAGAAGGGGCAAAAGGAGAATCCGGAATTGATACATTTTGGCAAACATCCCAAACATTTGAGCAGAAATTATCAACTGCTTGGCCTTGGCTTTTGGATGGTGCCCCTCCATCAGTGGTGGAATTGCAAAGAACTGGAATTGTACGAGGACCCGATTGAACCTTAAATAAGTCCGCTGAGAACTGATCACAAGTCTGCAAGAAATGATTATCCACCTCAAAATTAAACCAACAGAACAGTAATTATTAATTAAACTTTGCTCCTAAAATTCTTGAGCCCAGTTCAGTCATTTCCAGCAAACTTTGGGAAATGAAAATGCAGGAAGGAAAAAGTTCATACCGCACACAAAATTGACTTCACTGCAGAAGCACAGGCAGAATCACTTATGTTCAGAGCATCAAATCTCTGCCTAAGTTGCGAATCTTGGGATGAGTCGCAGCAAGCTTTGCCATCGTACGGACAAAATGTCAAAGGTTTCTTTGGTTTAACTGGTGCTCCTATGTAATAACAATAATGCAGTACATCAATACATCATTAACAACATTTTAGAATTCAGAACAAACCCAGAAAAATAATGTGAAAAATTTACTAAAAAAATGCAAACTTTATGGAATTCAACAATGAAATGAGAGGCTTACTCAAGTCTGTGCATAAAGGGAGTGTTGCAGAAGGATAAGGCAACACCAGAAGCAGCAGCAGAAGAAGAAGAAGACAAATGATTGAGAGCTTATTGTTTAAACAATCCATATTGGTAAGGATTTTCAGGAGTATTGGGACAAATGCAACTTAACAAACCTTAAGCTAAATATGGCAGTCTCTGACGTTATACAAAATACAACTTCGAAGATATGTACATGGATAATGGTCAAAATTTTCGGACAAAAAAGATGACTCAAGAAGTCAAAAGACTGATGGAAAAATAAGTGCATTTCCAGAAGGAGTAGCTGGAGAAAATTTAAAATCAAGGGGCCCTTTTATGTTTCTAGTTGGGAAATTACTGTATTTTCTCAGCGGAAATTGAAACTTTTTTTTTTGGATTATTTATTATGCTTGATGACTTTGATATGTACACATTCAATTCCTACCCAGAAAGTGAAAGTTGATAGAATGGAAGAAGAAGAAGAAGAAAGAAGACTTCGGACAAAGGGAAAACAAAGTTGAGCTGAGAGCAATAATTTCAAGACTTGCAATTTTGACTTGTCTTCTTGCAGATAAATGAGAAAATGAATATCAGTGGATGGTTGTTGAAAAGGAAACAAAGAAAAGTTAATGAAAGAGAGAAAATAAAAATTAAAAAAAAAAAAGAAAAAAAAAAGCTGTGGAAAACGTTAGACCTTCTCAAAAATGATTTTCTATGTACATTTTTCGGATATATATTAAATTTTGTCGCATTAATAAAAGATAGTGCCGCACTAAATAGACTACTTACTTAGTGCCCATAAATCATTAGTATAGCAATATAGGCTATAACGGGTCAATGTAGCACTATCCTAGCTGACTAGGTTAAAAGTCTAATAGTATAATCTTAAAAGTTAATGATTAGTTCATATTATGCATGTGGATTGTGGCCTAATAGCAAAAGTGGGATGATAATGATCCTCTAACTACGGAAAGTAATAATAATAATTTGGGACAACTAAATCGTTGTAGGATTTGGGGTCACTAAACATTGCTTTTCTGGCTTGCAAAAAACTATTGAGACAATAGTGGAATATATTAGAATAAGATCTTTGAACCGCGAAAAATGGATTTTATAGGATGATTATCACATGATTCTTGCTAAACAAATAGCTTCTAATCAAGCAATAATAAAATGTTGTCATTGATACGAACTTCAACATCCATCAAGTTTGTGAACATTTTTGGATTTAGAACTACATCAAAACTATCAAAATAATACGTGTTGCACGGTGTTATAAAAATGGGAGAAAAACTTAATTAATTATCTATTTTGCATCAAAATAACTATACTATATATTTACATTTACTGAAAAGAAATAGAATATTACTTTTAAAAATGGAAAAAAAAAAAAGAAAAAAAGAAAAACGAAACATGCATGTGAAGACAGAGTGCTGTATTGAAATTGCCATACAAAAAAAAAACAAAAAAAAAAAGAAAAAAAGAGTTGCCATCCAATTTTTATTTTGACACACAATTACAAGTGCATACTCTATTACATGTGGGTGGGGTCTGTGGAAAAGGGAATAGTACTACTAAGGAAGTTTTTTTGACACATAATTACAAGTACCTAGTTTATTACATATGGGTGGAGTCACACAATTACAAGTACCTACTCTATTACATGTGGGTGGAGTTTGTGGTAAAAGGGATAATACTACTAAGTACCTACTCTATTACATGTGGGTGGGGTCTGTGGGAAAGGGAATAGTACTACTAAGAGGGTTTTTTTGACACACAATTACAATTACCTAGTCTATTACATATGGGTGGGGTCTATGGAGAAGGGAATAGTACCACTAAGGAGAGAGACTTCACGCGCACACGCCTTGATCCGGTACTAGGACACGACTCGGACAAGAAATTATCGATGATCAGTTTGTTCAAATCAGTAAGCTGCTGGTGATTGAAGGTTGTAATGCGTTAAGCTTGCCTGTGAATTCTACTGTTAAGCTGAGAGTTAATGTTGGGGTTCATGATCTCTCTGTTAAATTGGGTGAATTGATCATATTTGATATTGTTCAGGCTTATAAAATTAAGGAATTCTGCAAGCCGTGGAGTGTGGTTGCATCAAGATTCAAAGACGATACTCAAATGCAATCCCATTTGTTCAGATATGAGTCCCTCACAGTTACTGGAATCTCTAATTATGATTGGAAGGATTTCTTGGATAAGGAGATTGGTGTTATAGATGATCACGCTTATGTTTTTTGTATGGATTCTAATGGCTGGGAGCGTGAGCGTAAAAGTGTTTTTAATGGTGGTCAGAAATTGGAAGAACTAGATACTCTTAAGAACTTCAGAGTTTTCGTATGCAGTGTAAATCTTGTTTCCAAGAAAGCATTGGTCCATAGCAACATCCATGACTTCTTAAAATCTTGGATTGTTATTGCTACAGCTTTCAAAGGAGGGACTAAGGCTCCGAGAGCATGTGTTGGGAACCAAGCATGTTTCAGTACGCTAAGGGATAATGTGACTCATGACTTATTGTCTTTGAATGTCGCAAATCCTTTTTTAGGGGATAGGATTTATTAGCTAATAGCCCATTTTTAGTTAAACGTCACCGTTTGTTTCTTCGGAGTGTAGTTATATAATCAATCACTGTAATAGAATAGGATTTATTCGGTTAATGACAAATTTCTGATTCCTTGCTTCATTTCTCTCTTCTTCTCTGTCTCTCTGGTTCTAGCTTCTCCCTCGATTCAATTCTTCCGGGTCAAGTCCAAACCCGTGTAATTGGGCTAGTTCATAACAAAATCATACCTTACTAATAATAATGAAACAAACGAGCCCAAATTAGGTTGCCTCCACTTACCAGTCAACCCAACCTTTTGTAACCTCAGCCTAAAAGCTCATCCAACAAGGTATAGAAAAATTTCATGATTAAGCCCAACGAGAAAGATATGGACCCGACGCGAAGAATTGATCGAGAGAGGAATGATACATGAAGAAAGAGAGTGTGTGTGTACACTGTGCAGAGTAGAATAGAAATGAGAAAAAAATATACACTCTTCATTCTAAAATTATTACTCAATTTAAAATCTCAAATTGGTGAATAATTTTAGGAAATAAGAGTATTTTTTAAAAAAGTTTATTTTATACATATCATTCTCCATGTCATCCAAATTTGAAAAGTTGATTATGGCCTTCCAAAACACCTACACCGATCGTACAATAAGGTATTAGGAAACGGATTTGCAATATACACTTTCTCAAAAAGGATTCTAATAACGTAAAGATCTACTTACAAGATTGAATTCCTCCTTCCTCCTCAATCAATCTCTAAGAATTGAGTTATGGTGATTACTACTAATAGATATGAGGGCATTTCAAGCATACACAGGCACATAGTTGGAGGTGTATGGGTCTAGACAACATGTAGAAGAAAGTATAGAATTTACAACTTATCCTTGAACTTTTTTCTAAGCAGAAATATAAACATATCTTTTGGTCTTCATACAAAAAATTTACTAGCTAGAAAGATTATGATCACTCTGTTTTGTACCCTAAATAACAAATTTTCTTAAATCTAGGTTTTCTCTTCTTTATGATTGTAAATTAGTTCTCGCTCCCAGAACATGTAACATTATTGTTCTCCACTTCTCCTTGTACTTTTGGTTGGTTTTTATAATTTATAAATATCCCGGGGGAAAAAGAAAAAGTAAAAGTCATTAAGGAGGTGTTTGTTTTGTCATCTGGAATCGGATTAGGAAACGGATTAGGAAATAAATTTGGATTCGACTCGAATTCTCACGGATTCGTAAATCCAAATACTGCATTTGGTTTGAGATATGGATTATTATTATTATTATTATTATTATTATTATGTTAAAAAATAAAATGGAAAAAAAAATTCCCTCCCCACCGTTCTGCCCCCTCCCCCGCCGCCACCACCACTTCCCTACCAAAAACCACCACCACCACCACCCATCTTCCATGAACGCTGCCACCACCACCATCACTCATCTTCCATTATTATCCTTATTTTCAATTATTATATATTCCACAAATCAGATTGATAAAAAATTACAAAATTAAGATCAAAACTTTACTGATAAAACTTAAAAGCGACTAACCACTGCAAAAATCTCCACCGCCGGTCATCATCAATGGGCAACAACTCTTTTATTATCAACAGCCAACAAACCAACTTCTAAATTCTAATCAATACAAAAATGAAAATGACCAAAAAAAATTGTGTAGAATTTCAAGTGGAGGGAGATGCTGGAAATGGAATAAAAAAAGATTCATGCCTCCGGTTGCCGGCACTGTTCATTTCAACCAAATCCATATCGGATTCTCCAGATCTATGATAGTTCCCGTAGATTTTAAACTGACAGAGCAAGAAATTCAACACCATGATGTATGCAAAACATCAACATCTTAATATCAATTATCCCAAGTTAGTTTTTTGAAAGAAAGTGAGGAGGGGAAGGCAGATAACAATGGAAGCATCATGTTTTGGACTTTTCGAAGAAAAGATGGTGACTGGAAAGAGATAGAAATGGAAGAAAAGAAAGAAGTATAGATGAAGGGATAAGTCATGATGAGAGAGAAATATAAAAAATAACCTTATTAAGTGGAAAAATTGATCAAGAGTCAGATTCAAGTTGAATCCTAGGTGGGGAGACATCATTCATTCTATGGGATTCAACCCATTCCACGGGATTCGTTTCCCACTATCCAAACATTACTATGGAATTGAATCTGTTTCCTTGAATCCAATTCCAGCATACCAAACAGCCCATAAAAGAAGAAAATTCGAAAATTAAAAAATTAGTTGAGCCACGCAATTTACCAACCTCTCAGGACTACGTCCGTCTGAAGTGCTTCACTTATTTAAGTGATTTCCACCTTCCTACCAACCCAACATTTGCCTTTCTTTCTTTCTTTCTTTCTTTCTTTCTTTTTCGCCCCCAACTTATTCTTCCAGTCAACATATTGATGCAAAATGCTCACAAAATCCAAATGAAATTATGAGCATTAATTACCAAAACTGAAATGTAACTTATAATTTTTGTAAAAAAGATCAGAAAACACTATTTATTGTAATCTCTTCTTTTTTCTGAAATTTATTACTCTCTCCGTCCCAAAATTATTGTCCAATTTGAGTTTTCATTTCTACTACAAATTATATTAAAAGTGAAAATCCAAACAGGACAATAATTATGGGACAGAGGGAGTATAAGTTATATGAGTTCTGATAACGTTATAATTTCTTTCGCTATCTTTCCTGCACAAAATTACGCATCAATATGTAATTTTGTTTAAAAAATCGTAGTGAATGCATGAGGCCTCCTACGAATTGAGTTACGTGATTCTATTTGTGAATCACAACAGGATTTCTCTCGTAATAAACAGAATAATAAACAAAATAATCATTTCGGAATGGAAGAGTTATATGTTTTATAAAATTCTCTACTAATAATATAATTAAGGTCAGTAATAGGTGAAATTTAACAAGTATTTTCAGATTGAAAGTGAATTCTTTGAATATTCTACCTCAAAATGATTTTATAGTATGTATCATGACAATTATTTCGAAACAACAAAATGAGAAGAACATCAAAATATATAATTTTCTTTAATATCTATTTCAATCCCAAAATCAATAACCTTTGAGTTAAATAAATACTAGATTTCGCGAGCTATATATCTTCAAAACATTTTTACTTTAATGATTTTAAAATAAATTAAAAATTTTATATTTGGTTCATTTCTTCACCTTAAATTGAATCGTTCAAACAAAATTTGAAATTATGATCTCCTTCGAGTAATAGTCCATACTCTGCACTTTTTTTTACTCATCCCATTTGATTCGGTTTCATGCTTTTTTTTTCCCTAATGAAATTCCCATTTAATTTGGTTTCATGCATTTTTTTCTGTCCCATTTAATTCGGTTTCATGCTTTTTTTCCCTAATGACATTTCCATTTAATTTGGTTTCATGTATTTTATATTAAGATATTGGTATACTCCATATGTAATTATACCTAATAAGAAGAAAATGGCACGATATAACTTATTAGGTTAGATAGTGTCAATCTTTGTCAAAAGTTAATTATTTTTTTTACATATGTATCCGGTATCCAGTCGCTATCGTTACACCCGTGGGTGTTGACTGACCACTGACTAATCCGGACTCGAGGTGGGTAGGTCCTTTCGAGAGGAACTTATTTATAAACTTATTTATAGATTTTAGACTAAGCCCAACTTCTTTTTTTTCTTCTTGAAACACCAGAATTTAAGCCAAAAAATGTAAGTTTAACCCAAAATCTAAAGTAAAAGAAAAGTTGTTGGGTTAAAATTTGAAAGGGCCACATGTTTTTTTGTCTGGGCTTGAAAATATTTTAATAATTAGGTATGTTTTTCGCCTAAATAACAAAAATGTCACCGTTTTTTATTTATGTTGTTTCAACAATGAAAGTACTGTAGCTTTATTGGCTCTTACTTTTATATAGTAGTAGATTGTTCCAATGATGAAAGTACTGTAGCTTTATTGGCTCTTACTTATATATAGTAGTAGATGTTGTTCCATCGACGAAAGTACTATAGCTTTATTGGCTCTTACTTTTATATAGTAGTAGATAGATATCCACACATCTCTGCCTTCACTCAAACCTCTCATTCTAGCCACATTTTATCGCTACCTAACTTTCTTATATAACTTCCCAAAATTCAGACCATGCTATATACTTCTTTGCACGGTCTATTAGCATTAATTCCTTGTCACGTTCTTTGCTCTTCCTCCACTATATAAATCAATGCAACAACCATCCATGAACTCTGCATTTTTGTACTCCAAATCCAAGCATTTTTCTAAATCTTCTTCCAATTTTTTTTCCTAATTTTTTTTTCTTTCTCTATCATGGGTTACAATGATGTGAAATTGATTGGTGCATGGCCAAGTCCTTTTGTGATGAGGGCTAGAATTGCACTCAATCTCAAGTCAGTGGAATATGAATTTCTTCAAGAAAAATTTGGTGTCAAAAGTGAGCTACTCCTGAAATCGAACCCTGTTCATAAGAAAATACCAGTTTTGATTCATGATGACAAACCCATCTGTGAATCTTTAGTCATTGTACAATACATTGACGAGGTTTGGAGTTCTGGCCCTTCAATTCTTCCTTCAGATCCTAATGATCGCGCAATTGCACGTTTTTGGGCTTCTTATCTTGATGATAAGGTACGAAATTATTATATATATATATATATATTTTTTTTATATCTTTTAGCTCCATTTTGAAATTTATTATTTGCAAGAACTTGCTATTCTGAAGGGTTATTAGTTAAAAACTAATAATTTAGTTTAGAAATACTAGCAAGATGTTAGTCCAATCATTAGTACTCTTGTTCGTTTGTTGGCAAATTGATTTATGACTCAGTTTTAATTTAGCGTAAGTCAAATCAATGATCTATACAACTAATTAATAAGGGATTAGTCATGACATCTACAATATTACTTCCAAAACAACTTAACTATTAGCAGACATTATTTGTAAGCAATGACTCATTTTTACTTCATTGTAGTAATTTAACATTATTTCTTCGAATTTGTGAATGTAGTGGTTTCCAACCATGAGAGAAATGAGAGATGCGCAAGGGGAAGCAAAAAAAGCGGCAATTTCAACTGTGATGGAAGGCTTGGCATACATGGAAGAAGCATTTGTGAAGATCAGCAAAGGCAAAGAGTTTTTTGGGGGAGAGAAAATTGGATATTTGGACATAGCATTTGGTTGTTTTTTGGGGTGGCTAAGAGTGAATGAAAAGATGAATGATCTGAAATTGTTGGATGAAACAAAGGTACCAAATTTGTGGAAATGGGCTGAAAATTTCTGCGCTGACAATGCTGTTAAGGATGTCATGCCAGCAACTGAAAAGCTCCTGGAGATTGTTAAGATTATTGCCAAATCTAAGGCTCCTTAAAATTGAAGTTTGTTTCTTGACAATATCTTTGTTTATTGTCTATGATCTTATATCAAATAAAAACACTCGCTAGCTAGCTAGTAACTTTTGAGTTAGACTTATGTATGATACCACTATCATAAAAAAAAATTTTCTTTTCTTTTTTTGCAATTTCAAGTTTACTTTGCCTCCCCTAGAGTATTAAAGAATTAACAAAAAAAACAGCGGTATTTATTAATACATGCAGAAAAAAAATTACAATAAAAACTTACAACAAATATTGTATCATCTGAATTATTCCCCCAACTTTAATTGCATAGACTCCATATGAAAAGTATAAAACGAATGAATATGATCGTTCTTCGTCACTTTTGTTCGTAAAATTTTCAACGTATGTTAATTGTTTAAAAAAAAAAACAGAGAAAAAGAAAAAAGAAAGGGGGTGTGCATGTTCGCGAGTCCTAGGTGCAGGAACCTCTATGTTAAATGTTTCTGCAGTTGGTGCTTAACTGGACTTATGAATTGGGGAAAATTAAGGAGCACTGAGATTGATACACTTGTATGATGTTAATATGGACCAAGTCATTGGTCATTGGTGGGACATGAGACTTCTGATGACAAAATTCACTGACCGTAAATATAAAAATTGAGATTCTTAATTTCAGTAGACAAAGTGTAAATATATTGGTTTGCATCAGCGCAATTATGTATAGAAACATGCAGACATTATGAGTTCACATTTTCCAGTGGTCTATTGATCTTCTGTAATCAAAATAACTTTGTAAATCCAGTAGCTCATTGAGATGTTAAGTTGGGTAATGGATTTTGTTAAAAGCTAGCGTGAAAACTAGCTTGGATCTGTAATTAGATTTAGAAATTTAATATGTAACTCTATCTTAAAAAAATAGTTTACAATGGGTTTTAAAAAACATAGCTCAGTGTAAATTTTTTTGGGGATAGAGGAAAGTAAAAGATAATATAGGAATTGCTTCAATGAAGTAAACTGTTAGGGTATTTTCTTAATTGATTTTTTTTTTCCCATTACAAATTAAAGTGTATTGTTGTTATAGTATAGAAAGATATATATGATCTCCTTTGTATGACCTGCTGCAATCTCCATTCAAGAAAGGAAAGGGATTTTGCCAGAAGTTTGGCCGCAAAAGAGACGAGTACAGTACTTGCTATTTTGAAAATTAAAATTTTGAAATTAATTAGATTTCTCACATGAAAACTGACAATTTTTTTCCCCAGAGAAACTAATACATGTGACGAGTCGTAAATTAACCCTAGGCCTATTAGGTCTAGGATTAAGTTACTTGGGGATTAATCCACCGCCTAAACCTATTCCGCTAGGGTTTCAGGAAACAAGTAACACCACCTCTATATAAAGAGGTGGTGCATCTCTCATAATTGATACCTTCTACCTATCTTTTACACCTTCTACACACGATACACATCCTTTTTTCTCTACTCTCTTTATTCCCTTATTGACTTAAGTATCGGAGATTCTACCCTCAAGAGACATCCGAGACTCTGTCTTGCAGGTTTTAGGCCGTTCGCCGCCGCCTAGGTCATCATCGCCGCCCGTCCTAAGCATCGTACAAATCCATGCTTCATCAAGTGGCATGCCCAGTAGGACCAATTTGTTTGGTCTTCACAACCAAATAAATTTCTTGAAATGAAGCTAAAATTTATTGGTGTTTTATGATGATCATCAAGTCGATTTGATGTGCAAATCCATATAACTCTCAAGTCATTCGAAGCAAGGAGCAATTTCGAGAATTGAAGTTTCGAGAGATAATCTCCTCGAAGGGGCCAGCATCCCTCGAGCAATACACTACTATTCGAAGTGTTCGAGAAGACGTATCTCGACTTTCATAATATCTTCTCAGAATCGAGGTAACACCTTCTTGAGTAATTAATTTATTACGAGATCGAGGTACTTCTAAAACCTTTTCATGCTTTAATATCTGATATCATTATCATACTATTATCATATCACGATATCTTTTTGAGCACGATCAAAGGAATTTTTCAAGTTACCAACCCTCTTGCTGTAAAACCCTATCACCCTTCACGGAGGAAAACGTACTCGGGGGCACAAACAGGGACATACCCTTGGGGCGAGGAATTCGAGGGATCATCCTAATATCCTGCTTGAATTGATATTCTTTACGAGCATCTTATTACTATATGTCATTCCTTTATTATTATTGCAATATCTTTGTCGAGTTTAATGGCAGGATGCACAAGTTTGAACTACTCAAGCTCAATCTTCTAGAAGTCCTTATGCACCTTGTTCCTCGAGAAGACCACCACCTATCGATCATTGTCCTTCCGAGGATCTCTTTCTGCTGATCATTGTCTTCTCGAGAACCCTTCTCCAGCGACTACTCATCCATTCGAGGACCGTCCTCACGGACCATTGTCTCTCATCGAGACCGTCTTTCATAGACCTTTGTCCTCCTGAAGATAGTCATCCATTCGAGGACCGTCCTCTCACGGACCATTGTCTCTCATCGGGACCGTCTTTTATAGACCTTTGTCCTTCTAAAGATCGTCCTTTGGAAAGACCTTCCATTGTCGACCCTTGTCCTTCCGAGGACCACCCCTTGTCGACCTTTGTCTTTCCAAGGATCCCGTCATCATCGACCCTTGTCCCTCGAGGACCTTCTTCTGTCGATCGTCACCCTTTTGTTCATCTTGCAGGAACATCATGTTCGAGAACTGGGGCTACATTACAAAAGTCGAGAAGCCGTCAAAACTCTAACCTCGTACTCGTAGCAACCCATATTCTTCTCATCAAGCCTCGAGAATATGGCTTGCTAGGGGCACTTGACGAGTCATAAATTAACCATAGGCCTATTAGGCCTAGGATTAGGTTACTTGGGGATTAAGCCACCGCCTAAACCTATTCTGCTAGGCTTTCAGGAAACAGGTAACACCACCTCTATATAAAGAAGTGGTGCATCTTCCATAATTGATATCTTTTACCTACCTTCTACACTTTCTATACATGATACACATCATTTTCTCTCTACTCTCTATTCCCTTATTGACTTAAGAATCAGAGAGTCTACCCTCGAGACACACCCGAGGCTCTGTCTTGTAGGTTTTAGGCTGTCCGTCGCCGCCTAGGTCATCATCGTCGCCCGTCCTAAGCACCGTACAAATCCATGCTTCGTCAACATGAAAGCAAGTAGATCAACACAATAATCCCAAAACATAATACATAGTACATTAATTTAATGGTAAGATGAAAAACTCGTTACTGAATTATATATAATGCAATCAACTAGAGTAAAACCTTGTGAACATTTGTTAAATGGAGTTTGGAAACAACCTTTCAATTCTCATGATCTTGTAGAGCATATTTTTTATCTAGGCAAGAATGTCAAGAGTCAAACCTGATCCTGCAAACTTTTCTGTCATCAAGCTCTTTAGGCGTTTAGCCATGGAAGGAGTGAGAAAATTCACCCAATCTCCGACTTTTTCCTTGCGGAAATACGAACTTTTCTTGAGCGTATGTACCAAATGTATATCCCCTTCTTTGTTACATTCCAAGTTCTTGAGATTTTCGAGGCTGCAAAGCTTTATCAAACCTTCCACCAAGCCTAGGTCTTCTTCTTGTTGCGAGAAACCGCATCCCAAGAACTCAGTCAATTTCATCACGGAAGACGGAGTATCCCTTTGAAGGTCCTCGTAGTGCAAGAACAAAACTTTGTTAGGGTTTCTCAAGCTCGCATCCCAATATCCCATGATTTGTTCCCAGAAAGGGCCATATACAAACATGCCCTCACAAAATGCTCCGAAGGTTTTTTCCAAGGCACTCGGTTCATCAGCTCGCAACTCCCCGTTTTGTGACAAGAAATGCATCAAAGAGGTAAATGTGTCCAAAGGGTTTCTACAAAGATAGATAATTCGAGGACTCTTAGAATCATTTGAAATTATCGTGTCTGGCAGGCACTGGTAAGGTACATGTGTCCCGAAAATCCTCAGTCGGCTACTCCTCGTGTTCAAGGCGGAGCTCGGATCGGGAAGTTTGCCTGCTCGGTATAGATCGAGCTCGAAGAAAGGAACGAGTTGATGAGGATTTTGAAAGAGCAAAGGGCTTCCCGAAGTCGAGTTCTCGGATTTGGACCGGTTAACAATGGCAAAGGTAAGGGCTTTAAGCCATGTGGTGCCTGATTTAGGCATGGTGGCTAAGGTGATGTCGGAATCATGGGATTCAAAGTGTTTGTGGAATGTTACCACTCCACGCAAAATGTGTTCATCGTACCAAAACCCTTTGTGTTGAGCCAATCATAATGCCGCCTACTTGTTTTTTAGGCAACTTCTTGTAAAATTCTTCAAACTCATCATCATCTTCATGTTCCTTCTTCTCCCCCATGGGGCTGGCTGCTGGCATGGCTTCGGGAATGCTCTCCATGATTTCGACGGGTCACTAGCTAGCTAGAAAATTAGTTTGGCAATTAATGGTGCAACATATGATTCGGGTTGACTTGCCAATTTATAGCAATTGCAAAGTGCGAAATGTTGAGGAAATAATGTGCATGTTATCCGGAATTAATGGATCTGTCTTTTTTTTTTAAAAAAAAAAAATCTGATCCATGTGCGAAAATATTTTAAAGATAAAAAACTTCAAGTCAACCAACAAGTCTGGGAAAAAAAATTTACTCCTTATATCTCTAGTACATAATTAGGCATCAATAAATGTTAGCTGAACCAGAATAGTGGTACTGTGGTACAACGAAGTAGAATATTATTGTCTTCACGAGGGAGTGATAATTATTAGTTTATAAAGACTTGTAAAAGGTTTTCCCTAATCCAATTGTTAATTATTTTCATTTGTTTCTTAACAAATTTTAACTATTCACTAGCATTATATTAAGAGAGAAATCATAAAGACAACAAAATTTTTCCTTATATCTTACTATATTAGAAACAAAAACCACACTTAAGAAAAAGTACTACCATTTGCCATGTGGTATTTCCACATCATATTTTTAAAATAAATCTTTATTTTCACATCTTACTATATTAAAAACAAAAATCACACTTAAGAGAAAGCACCACCATTTGCCATATGGCATTTCCACATCATATTTTTAAAATAAATCTTTATTTTCACATCTCCTAGACTTAAAAGGCAAATGCAGTCTAAATTCACCTCCACCTCCTATTTTTGTCAAAACAAAAAAAAAAGACGGGTTCATAAAAAAATCCAAATCCTCATCCACTTCTCCACGACAATCGACTCCCTAATCAATCCCTTCTCCACAATAATAATAAAAAAAAAAAAAAACAAATTTCTCATCAATCATCAATTGAGAATATGTAGTAAAATATACTCATTTTCTATTAGCATGTTCAATCTTTTCATTAGTGATGATCAACTACATCCTGATCAGATAAAATTTCGACTTCAAAAAATATTCCCTTTACCTTTCTATATAAACACAAAAGAAAAAAAAATTCTCATTGATCTTGCTTCAGCCGTTGTCGTGATGCAATTACAGGTATTAAAATTTAAATGATTTTATTTCCATAGATCATTTGTTTGGCTTTTATTATTTTTTGTTTTTCCCGTTCAAGAATAGTGTTATTACTATTATTTTTATGCGTCAATCCGTTACAGCTACCGTAGCTGTTGTCAGGTAATATAATGTGATTTCTTATATAGTTAGTTAGCCTAGAAGTTTTGTATGATTTTAGTTCTGTTTGGATTGAATTGATTAATTGAGTTTTTGTTACAAAGTGTGGTTTTTTAAATTTCTTTTTAATGTTTCATTCAATTAGAGTGGTTTTATTTTTTTAATTATGGAGTCTCAGTTTTTTTTTCGTATATGATCAGTTACGAAGTGTGTTTTTTCTTTGTTTAATTGTTTTTTATTTTTTTTTCATACTCCCAGTTGACCAATTATTATTATTATTATTTTATTTCATTGCAAATAAAGCGCGTTTTTATTTTGTGTTTGGGCTTTCAAGAATATACTTTTTGAATTTTGGTTTTTGGACTTTTTTTAGTTTCTCATCATCTAAATAGTTCAGGTCGCTTCTTCTAACTAATTTCTGAGGAAGCCTTTTATGAATTTGAGGTGGAGAGGGAAAGAATGATGTTTCTACGTTTATTTGTATTTTTATACAACATTTTTACCTACAGAAAAAAAAAATTTCTCAATTTTAAATGGGCTATCTTTTACTTTCTTTTTTTTTTTTTTATTTGCCATGGTGAGTTGAGTCCTTTTTTGGTATAACTTGAAACCTATGCAAATTTACATTATTTTCATTCTCATATTTGTGATCACCCAATTTCATCAATTAACCAGTTTTAAAATCATATTTTTGATATTTTACTACTTATAAACTTTTGGAAGAAATAGTTTCAACAATTAAGCGTATACCCTTGGGAGAAACCTTACTACAAATCTATTATAAATCTCCAAAACTAAGTATTGATGTGGCACAATCGGAGAACATCAATAAATTATCTTACTAATATTTAAACTTATTAGGATGCTTTTATATTTTGTCTAGCATTTAATTCAATACATATATTTGATCAAGTTTATTTATATTTAAGAAGTAACACTTATAAAATATTTCTAAAACGTACCGGGTCAAATACAATTTCTTTTTATGCCAAATACAAACATTTCTTTGATCACAGTTATAAAATATTTCTAAATTTTTTAAACATTTCTAAAATATATCGGGCCAAATACAAAATATTTTTTTTTTCAGATACAAACATTTCTAAGATGTACATATATATTGGGCCAGGGTCTCGCATTGCGCGACCAGACATCACTAGTTATCACATAAGTAAAAATCATATTTGGCATTTTCTGATGCATGTCCCAAATTTTATCTTAAAACATGGTTTAAACAGTTCTTATAATATTCGGTAAATAAAAATAAAAATTATTAAATCAGCATTTAATAACCTTAATGAACGTGGACTGTATATAACCACTTAAATGTCCAAGTACATTTTCCTATTTATATTCCAATTAAAACATCTATTATCTACCTATACATACAAACGAGAAAATGTGTGACCATAAGGTGTAAATGTGTGTAAAGTTGTGGTCGGATTTGCCCTTGCTGCCCATAATGTCTTTTTTGGTTGTTTTCTTCATTGATTCTTTTTCTCCATTACAAATTAATGAGTGTTTTGTTGTTAGTATATATATATATATATATATATATATATATGATCACCTTTGTATGATCTGATGCGATCTCCATTCAAGAAAGAAAAAGATATTTCAAGAAGTTTCGCATGATTATGCCTGGCCGCAAAAGAGACAAGTACTTGTTATTTGAAAAATAAAAATTTGAAATTAATTAATTTCTCACATGAAAACTGACATTTTTTTTATCCGGTACAATAATGAATGAGAGAGACTAATACTTGAAGCAAACAATAATCCCAATACAACTTACAGATTACACCGACTTAATGGTAAAAGGAAAAACTCGTTACAGAATTACAATGCAATCAACTAGAGTAAAACCTGGTGAACATTTGTTCGACGGAATTTGGAAACAACCTTTCAATTCATGATCTTGTATCAGATTTTTTGATTTAGGCATGAATGTCCAGAGTCAAAACTCAAACCTGATTCTGCAAACTTTTCTGTCATCAATCCCTCAAGGCGTTTAGCCATGGAAGGAGTCAGAAAATTCACCCAATCCCCGACTTTTCCCTTCCGGAAATACGTGCTTTTCTTGATGGTATGCACCAAATGTAGATCGCCTTCTTTGTTACATTCCAAGTTCTTGAGATTTTCGAGGCTGCAAAGCTTTATCAAACCTTCCACCAACCCTTGGTTTTCTTCTTGTTGGGAGAAACCGCATCCCAAGAACTCGGCCAGTTTCTTCACGGAAGACGGAGTATCCCTTTGAAGGTCCTCATAATGCAAGAACAAAACTTTGTTAGAGTTTTTCAAACTCGCGTCCCAATACCCCAGGATTTGATCCCAGAAAGGTCCAAATATTGAGAAGCCCTCACAAAATGCTCCGAAATATTCTTCCAATGCACTCGTTTCATCATCGGCTGGCAACGCTCCGTTTTGAGAGAAGAAATGCATCAAAGAGGTAAACGCGTCCAAAGGGTTCCTACAAAGATAGACGATTCGAGGACTCTTAGAATCGTTTGAAAGTAGCGTGTCTGAAAGGCACTGGTAAGGTACATGTGTCGCGAAAATCCTCGGACGAGTGATCATCATGTTTGGGTCGGGAAGTTTGCCTCCACGGTATAGATCGAGCTCGAGGAAAGGAACAAGTTGATGAGGGTTTTGGAAGAGCAAAGGGCTTTCGGAAATCGAATGTTCGGATTTGGACCGGTTAACAATGGCAAAGGTTAGGGCTTTGAGCCATGTTGTGCCTGATTTAGGCATGGTGGCTAAGAGAATGTCGGAATCCTGGGATTCAAAGTGTTTTTGGAATGTTACTACACCATGCAAAATGGGTTCATCGTACCAAAACCCTTTGTGTTGAGCTAACATCAAGCCGGCTACTTGTTTTTTGGGCAACTTCTTGTAAAATTCATCAAACTGATCTTCATCATCATCTTCGTGTTTCTCCATGGGGCTGGCTGCTGGCATGGCTTTGGGAATGCTCTCCATGATTTTTAAGGGTCACTAGCTTGCTAGAAATTAGTTTGGCAAGTTGATGCGGGGTGCAATATGCTGATTCAGGTTGATTTTCCAATTCATAGCAATTGGAATTTGGAAAGGGCGAAATGTTGAGGAAATTATGTGCATGCATGATCCGGAATTAATGGATCTCCCCTTTCTTAAAAATTCTGATCAATGTGATATAAACATTAAAAAAACTTCAAAGAGTTCAAGTCAACCAGACAAGTCTGGAAAAAAAGAAACTCCATACTTATATATTTAGTACAGAGTAAGGCATCAAAAAAATACTCCCTCCGTCCCATAATTATTGTCTACTTTACTAAAAAAAATTTGTTCCAAAATTATTGTCCAATTTGACTTTTTATGGATCAAGTTACACATTTGTCCTTAGTAAAAAACATTATCCATAATCTTAGTGGTTAAACAATTACTTATGTAGGGGTATATCCGGTTGTTTAAGGTAAAATATAGTTAAGTTTGACCAAAAATAAAATTTTTCATTTTAGTAAAACTGGACAATAATTATGGGACGGAGGGAGTATTAGTTAAACCAGAATATATAGTAGTACATCAAAGTATGTAGAATATTGTTCTCGGGATGAGGGAGTGATAATTAGTTTCTAAAAACCTGTAAATGTTTTGCGTTAATTCAATTGTTAATTACTCTAATTTGTTTATTCACAAATTCTAACGACTCGGTCATACTATGCTATCTCTGAGCCAATTTCAATTCAGCATAACTCAAATGAAGAATTTTTTACTTATATGGGTCTAAAAACCCTACTTCTGGACACATTAGGCCCCATGAAAGCTCTTGTGGACATAGATAGCCTTCCCGCAAATCATATATGTGGTTTTATAACAAACTGCGTACAAGAAATGCGGAAATAAAAAGTAACCGTATCCTTTCAATACGGTTTTCTTTGCTGCATTAATTAAAATAAAATAATTAATTACGTTTAACTCTACGAAAGGAGTAACTTAATAAAAAAAAACCGCAAACAAGATTTGCCGAAATACAATAACCGCAATACACGGTTGCGGTTTTCGGTATTACGCAATGTTGTAATGCCGATTTGAATATTTGATGTTACAAAATTTTCCATGTGGATTTATTAAATTTGTGAGAAAATTAATAAATAATAAAATATTATTAATTATTTTGTGAGCCAAAATATGTTACTGCTATCTATTATAATATGTTATGCACATTTTAGTTTATAAATTGATTATTACGATTATAAATGTTAAAAAAATTGATATTAAAATTTAAGAATTAAATTAAAAGGATAATAAATATTTAAAAAAACTTAAAATGTTGAGGATACATGAAAAAAAAACAAAAAAGAGCAACCGAAAATGGATGCACTAAATATATTAATTTCAAGGAAAATAATTGATCTAAACCCATAAATAAGGAAAAATAAGTAAGTTTTCGTAAAATTATGATGGTGATAAGGGAAATTATTCGGTCAAACAGGGTGAAAGTGATGGTGATAAGGGTAATTATTCGGTCAAACCACGTTCCTGATATGCGGTTTTCTTAGATCAAAAATTCGACCAAAAAAAATGTTCTTAGATCAAAAATTCGACCCAAAAAAAAATGTTGCGAAAAAACATTTCCAATTAGTTTCGAACCTAGCACATTGAACATAAGGGAGTAAGTAACTAACCATTTAAGCCAATTTGATACATCTGATAAGTTAAAGCATTTAAATTTATATATATACAAATGGTACTTAATTATACAAAAAAAGAATGATGCCAGAGAGTTTCAAACCCGGCACCTTCAAGTTGAACATAAAGGAGTAACTAACTAATCATTTAAGCCAGATTGACACATTTGATAAGTCAAAGCATTTGAATCTATATATATATATGCAAATAGTACTTAATTATACAAAAAAAAATGTTGCCAGAATGTTTCGAACCCGACACCTTAAAGTTAAACATAAAGGAGTAACTAACTAACCATTTAAGCCTTATTGGCACATGTAATAACTTAAAGCAATTCATTTTATATATATATATATATATACAAATTTACTCAAATCTGTAATTGTTCAAATTTGTTCTGTTTTTTCACATGTAATACTTGGTTATACTTAAAAAGTGTCAGTTATTGAAAAAATTTGATCTTTTTACTAATATAATATTTAGTTATTACATAAACAGAATCTGTGATTGTTCAAATTTATTCTTTTTTCACATGTAATACTTAGTTATACTTAAAAAGTGTCTGTTATTGAACAAATTTGATTTTTTTACTAATGTAATACTTAGTTTTACACAAAATAGAGTAAGTGATTGTTCAAATTTATTATGTTTGCACATTTAATACTTGGTAATACTTATTTTTACTTAAAAAATATCTGTTGTTGAACAAATTTGATCTTTTTACTAATGTAATACTTAGCTATACACAAAATAGAGTATGTAATTGTTCAATTTTTTTCTGTTTTCACATGTAATACTTAGAAATACTTAGTTATACTTAAAAAGTGTCTGTTATTGAACAAATTTGATCTTTTCATTAATGTATTACTTAGTTATACACAAAATAGAGCATGTAATTGTTCAAATTTGTTCTGTTTTCACATGTAATATTTAGTAATACTTATTTATACTTAAAAAGTGTCTGCTATTGAACAAATTTGATCTTTTTACTAATGTGAATTTTAGTTATACATAAACAGAATCTGTAATTGTTCAAATTTGTTCCTTTTCACATATAATACTTAGTAATACTTAGTTATACTTAAAAAGTGTCTGTTATTGAACAAATTTGATCTTTTTACTAATGTAATACTTAGTTATACACAAAAATAGATTAAGTAATTGTTCAAAGTTATTTTGTTTTCACATGTAATACTAAATTAGTAATACTTATTTATACTAAAAAAGTGTATGTTATTATACAAATTTGATCTTTTTACTAATATAATACTTAGTTATACACAAAATAGAGTATGTAATTGTTCAAATTTATTCTGTTTTCACATGTATTACTTAGTAATACTTATTTATATTTAAAAAGTGTTTGTTATTGAACAAATTTGATCTTTTTACTAATGTAATACTTAGTTATACACAAAATAGAGTATGTAATTGTTCAAATTTATTCTGTTTTCACATGTAATACTTAGAAATATTTAGTTATACTTAAAAAGTGTCTGTTATTGAACAAATTTGATCTTTTTACTAATGTACTCCCTCCATTCACAAATACATGTCGTTGGAGAATTTTCACACAATTTAAGAAAGGAGAATAAAATACCAAACTACCCTTATTTACTCCCAACATAACTCTAATCCCAATATTTATCTTAAACACACTTTCTTCCTTGGAATGACGAGGAGTATTACAAAACGTCGGCTGCTTTGTAATACGATGCCATAAAAGTCTTTTTGTCAAACTATCCAAACCACCTCCATTAAAACATGCTCCCTGATCAAAAAAATTTGGCGGACTTTAACCTGAACAAATTTTGTTTTGCTTATCAAAAAAATGTGCGCCATTTTTTTGCTTGAAATTTTTGAAATTTTGATTCCTTTTCCTATTTATAGCTGGGAATCTATTCATGGAACTCATAAGATGAGAGGAAAAAATGAATTCAAGACCACGAGTTGATGATGTTAATAGTGAAAGGTTACTTTTTGGTATGAACAATAGTCTTCCATCCGAGAGTTTGTTGTTGGAGGTAAACCATCCGTGTGAAAAAAAGAAAAGATGATTGCACACGCAATTTTAACTTAACTTTTGAGCTTCATGAAGAAATAGAGGTTATTTACTAGGATGGTGATTCCTTTGATGAAGAATTTGAAGAAGGATTTGATGAAAGATCTTTTGGTTTTGAAGAAGGTTTCGTTGGTAATTATTTTGAAGAATATTTGGAACAAGAATTTAATGGTGATGAACACGTTGTTGGTGACCACTTGGAGGAAGAATTGGAACAAGAAGGTACTGGTAATCACCTGGAAGAACAACAAGGTACTCAAATTTGTTGTTTTTTTTTCTTCCTTATTTTCCCATTCGGTTTATCATAAATAATTTTTTGATTATTTTATTCACCATTCACATGATTGTGACTATTTAAATATCTAATTTGATCCTGAAAATTATTTAAGTCAGTGTCATGTAAGTTGTTGTTTATGGTCGAAAATTATTTGTGAACTTGGTATGTTCCTCACTTATGATTTTTTAGGTTGTTTTCTTTTTTTGGCTTATGATAGACCCGATTTTGTTGAACTTGGTAGATTACTCACTTATTGATTTAAGATCCATGTTCATTGATGTTGTCTTCTAATCCGCTGAATAAGTTTCTATTTTACCATTCACACGTTAGAATCTTTATAGGAAGACTGATGATGATAATGAATTAAATTGTGATTTTATACATGAATTGTGTGTGTGCACGTGTGTGTGTGTGTGTTTTCTTATTTTTTTCGTTATGTCTTGTTTTTTGTTATACTCCAGTATTTGTGTTATAGAAAAATGATCGAATTATAAACAAATAGGCACATGAGCATGATTGACTGGTGGCTTGTTGTGGTGGCTGTTTGAATGCATCATCATCATCATCTTTGATTCATTTCATTTTCTTATTTAGCCATCTTTAATTTTTTTTTCACGACTTAGGGGATCCGGTCATCAAGAAAAGAAAGACTCTCATAAATGATGAATGAAGAGTTATATATAATATGCTCCTACAAAAAAGTGTTGATGGAAGATTACAAAGGTGGATCACGAAGGAGCTAGCAGCAGCTTTTTTAGTTAACATTCGCACTGTTCAACGAATTTGGCGACAATCAAAAAGTTCTCCTAACGGCGATGTATAGCCGAAAAGCATCGAATTGTGGGCGCAAAAGAATTCAGATTGACATCAATCGAGTTCTAGATATTCCTTTCCATGAGCGGACATCTTTTGAGTCCTTAGCTTCTAAATTGAATATTTGTAAGACTACACTATTTAATTTGTTTAAGTCTA